GTGGTTTTCCTTTCTTTCTATTGAATGCACATTATTTCTTAACACTTAAATTTTGTTTTAAAACATTATTACTGTTCATCTAAATGTAGATGAACAATAACATTTATAGTACTTTACACACACACACATAAGTTTATTTAGATGTGTTGTTTTTTACAAAAATACTTAGGAGTCTTTTTATTTTTGGGTAAAAATATTTAGAATTGAGTAGCAGGAATATGCCTAGGCGGGTTAGGCAGGGTATGGGCCCCTGCCACAGCTTTGGCATGTGAATCCCAACAGTGCCCATTATGGTTTTCCTTGTTGGGTTACACACTTGCTCTCTTTCTTCTTCCTTCCACGTTCCCCCTTTTCATTTCAGTTTCACCCACTTCTTCTATCTCACCCACTCTATCTTCCTTCAAAGCAATCACATGTGAGAGACAGAGAGAGAGAGATCAGTGCCCTACTTCGCATGCATGGACGACAGTGAATATGAGGAAATTACCCAATGCAGCATGCTCTGTAACTGGGTATGAAGTAAAGCTTGATTGAAGACAGTACGAGAATAAAGTAAACTACTCTCTTGCGTATCGCTAGTTTTGCGTGTTATTCCAATGGCGCCATACAGACTCACAGAATACAGTCCTTTCATTGACAGACCCTTCGCTTGTCAACCCACACAAATTAAACTTGATAAACATAATTAACACCCTCTGATTATATTAAACAATCACGTGACATACATGATTTGTAAGCCCATATAGAACGTCTGACAGCAATGATCGCTTGTAAATAAATATTTTATACATCTCTGATATTTTTTTGCCTCTAAAAAAATGGTACTGATATTATGCATGACTTTCTTATGATCATTGTGCTTTTACCCGCATATAAAGGAAACAACTCATTACTCAGCTCAAAAAGTTCAGACACGAGGCTCTGTTGCTTCTTGGCACGGCTTTCCTTGCGGTGAGTGCGAGAACAACAATTATGTGTTGGAGCTGAAAAGATGGTAGGGACACAGAACAAAATAGCCCCAAAAACAAACTAGAAGGATTAGTTATAGAAATTAAATTAAGGATATATCATGCGCGGTGATAGATGTGGAGGAGATCAATCATGCCAATCCCTGTCTGAAGTTTGTGCAGGGATCGAGGACCAGCATGTTAAAATTAAAGAACGGTGAAAAGGCTCACGAGCTATGCACAGGAATATTAAGGATGGGGATCGTTAGACATGAGACCTCGAATTATAATAACAATGGACCACCAAATTCGCAATTCCTTTAATTTTATATCTTTATTCTGTAAAATAATTGTGTGGTCCATTGTTGACCTCCAACGTAATTGGTCCTTTTCCATCCTGTTGCTTTGCCTTGCTTTTAGAAGGTATTTTGTTCCCTCGCTTTAAAACTCTCCTGGACAAAATTAATAAAAGCGAGACAGTCCCTTTAACGAAATACAAATTCCTCAATTCCGTCACAATGCTGAGGTTAATTAACTAGGAAGTGTCCGCTCCAACATGCCAAGTTAACAGCAATTTGCAAGCCAGTTTAATGATTACAAGTAGGTTATTAATTGGTGTTCTTGGTGATGTCAGTGAATTATTTGAACTGACGGTGAACACTTTGACAGGTAAATGGTCAGGCCTTGATTTGGTGACGTCCACCAGATGGAATGTTAGGTAAAAATATTAGTGGAGGGGGCTTCAACCTCCATTCCTGATGCAGGGGGACAAAGCCATGCTTCATGCTAGGGTTTTAAAGCTGATAGCCTTCTCTTTTTCTGCACGACGCAATAAAGAGGTCTATATGTGTAGAGATATATTAAGATCATGAAATGACCGCATAACTTTCCTTACTTGTTGGAGCTTTCTTGAAATGACTCCGACCTACACTATGCACATACAATTATATGTATGTACCACACTCTCGCACGATGTTAAAGAGAATCCAAGCCCCTAGATAGTGCATACGGTACTCTCTCTTGAAGAGACCTTAAAGTAGCCTACTAATTGTCGAGGACGCCCCCGTGAGAATCCGATGAAAAATAGCCTAGGACATCGATCGACCTTTTGGACCTCAAAATCTTTGAGATTAAAAGCAGAATTAAAACGTATGTATAGTTGACCAAGGTTTAGAGTTTTGACTCAATGGATTAGTGGCGGCACATGCAGCGTGTTGAGATGTAAACCTCGCCGATTCATCAGGCTTTTCAAAGCAAAGCATCATATCCACCATATGGGACTGCAGTTACAGGAAAATTAGGCTTACAGCTCCTTCAAGTTTGGTTTCTGTCTTCGACATTTTCAAACCCTTTATTCCTTTTCCTTTCTTCCACTCTGGCAGTTTGAGAGCATCAATTAAACCCATCGACAGATGCACCGTGTTTTCATACTCAATTGCTTGGAGCAGTTATAGTTAGGTTGTTTCTTTCACATGGATTAGCGAAACCCTCCTCTTATGTGGATTTTTTTTTTTTTTTTTGCCATCACCTCCTCTGTGGCTCGGTCAATGCGTTGGAAATTCAATTCCATCATATACTTATTGGAATTCCGCCTGTATATCGATTGAAAAATGTAGGTGATATAAATAGTGATGCTTTAAAGTTTTGTAGCAGGAATTTTTATAAGATACAATTATTTGTGTATGATACAGTATATACTGTAAGAACAATGAATAAGTTTTGTGTCAATTATCAACATACAGCGGATGCGAATTGAGTTACGCTATTAATTAATAAAGGAAAGTGGGAAAATTAATCCTGCAAGAGATGGCCAAGGGATTGGATGTTCTGATGAATCTTTGTTGACTTTTAACGAATATTTATTAAATAAAAAAATGATGCAATTTAGCTTTTTATCTTCTCATGATCACACAAGTTAATCCCACCACACCCATATGGGCGACACTTTAGAGCGAAAATTTTATTGCGTGCATCACCGTTTTGTGATATCTAGTTCTGATTTCAACGCATTGTCATTAAATTCTACTTGGCTCATATACAGACCAATTAAAAGAACATTTATTTTCATATTGTTTTCTGTCAAGCTTGCAAATTGCAATGCATGGACACTATTTACATTGATTTAGGGTGAAGCAAGTATGAAGAGAGAGAAAAGAACAAATACCGTGGAAATCCTGAGAGGCCGAAATCAATCACGAGCCGTTCGTTCATTCTCGAGGGAGTAAAAGTGAACGGGTGAAAAGCCACATGGAAGAGAGCAAGAAATGGATAGAAAGCTTAAAGAAAAATAAAATGGCTCATCAATCTAATCAAAGCAATATTGGGAGTCACATCAATTGACACACTGATCTGGTGTAATATTTAGAGGTAGGGACATAAAGTTGGCTTCACTGTACAAGATGTTAACCTCGACCTCATTGACAAACCCTCTTCTTTCTCTTAACCTCAATGTTAAGCAACCCCTGCATTATTAAGATAACAACGCCGCATCTTATCTTACATATCTGGTTAATCCGAAAGCCTACCACTTTTTTCCCCTGAAGGACACCAATCACGTATCACGAGGATGTCTTTGGGAAATTTGAAATTTGAAATTTGAAATTCAACCACTTCTTTCTTGCTCTATCATTATCAATAATAACAGTGCTAACATTCAAAGGATTACAGATTTTGTCCATTTAAGGAACCAGCCCACGCGTCCAATTAAAGCTCGACGGTATGGAACAAATGCACTCAATAAATTAACTTGGCGATGACACAGTTGAAATTCGCAAACGATTCAAGTTTCAAATGTACCATGCATACCTGCATACATGTGCAGGGGATGGGGTAGAGAGAAGATGGCCATATTCTCCCACAGTGAGTTACTGTTGCATTTAGTGGGGATTTGAGACAATGCTTCATCGCTATCGAGTGAAGTTCCAGTATTATCCCTATTTTGTCAAGGACCAATCAAGGACTAAGGACGACCAGCCCATGCCTAGCTGGCTAGGGGCACCAACACAAGATTGCTGACCTCATCATCAATGACCAAAAAACCATAACCAACCCGTGGTGTGGACCCCAAAACTTTGCATTTAAACAAGTAACGTGAACCTGCTAAAAACAAAAAAGCGCCCATACCCTTAGATGGTGGCCAACAAGTCAGAATTCTTGCTTGGTGAGTCACTGATGCCATACACTTACCCTCTCACTCTCAGGCTCTCAGGTCATTATCCTAATTTGAATTAATAATGATATTTTCGTTAAAAGAGGATCTACTTCCCTTGAACGGATATGCCCCACAGATATCTTCAACAACACGTTTAATTAGGTTACATGATAGTCTTATTTTAACTTTAAAATAATGGGATTAGGATTTTACCCGAGCTGTGTACGGCCCAACGAGTTTCGTTGTAAAAGCCAAAAACAATTAGTGCAGGAGGAATGCGTGCTTGATTAGGAAGAATAATTAAAAAGCATTACAAGGTTTCTTTTGGAATCACCAGCCACATCACCGATGCTCGCTACAGTATTCAGCCCTATTATCTAAAGTTAACCCTGATCTGATGCAATCAGATTACGAAAAGCTTACAGCTTGATATGCACAACATGATAGAATACGATTATGATTTTGTTTATGCTTCTCTTTGGTCACTTCATCGTAGAATATAAAATAGTATCAGCATATCTGCACATGGCTAAAGCAATAAAATAGCGCAATTCACAATCGCCCTAACCTTCTGAACTCTACGTGACTAAACTTTCTGCCTCTCTCTCATGGACATATAACTTATGGAGAAAATCATATTCTCTCTGACCGGAGAAAGAGAAAAAGCGCAGCATGCTTTTTCACCTTCTCCTAAAGAAGAGAACATCAAATAATCACGCTGAGAGTTCACAGTTCATCACCCACTAAAGCTCCTCCAGCCAAACCCATAATCTCAAACTAAAAAGCTTGAGCGAGAAGGTGAAATAAAATCACCCCAGAAAGAAGGGGCAGGGGAACGAGACATTTATAAAACTCGGGGTCGTAGTAGTGACTCATAAAACTACAACTGAATTTACCATTGATAAGAAACAAGAAAAGGTGAACCCAGTAAATAATTAAAATTCCCTCTGGATATCAATCTCTGCCATGTTAAATATCCTGAAGAAGTTGATCATGATCATCTCATTGATAAAACTAAATTAAAAGTGAAAGAAAAGAAAAGACTAATCAACCGACAACGGTCTTACTAAGATATTATTTTTTCTCTTCCCGTTCGTCGATTCTTTCATCCTTCACCAAAGATTCAAGAGGACGAAGAGGACCCATTAGTACCAAGGTTTGCCCCACTATTATCGTTGGTGTAGAGGTGATGATTCGCATCCTGCGCGCTGCCGTTGTCGTTGTTGGCGTGGATTTCAGTGGTGAGGGCACGAGGGTCTTGCTCTAGAGCGTTCCTACCGTCATGATTAGCAGAATCTCTCCTGCCGAAAGTGTTCTTGTTGTTGTGCATCCAAACCTTCAACACCCCCCTGTCCACCCCAACCTCATTGCAGAACTCATGAACCAATTGTTCGTCCCTCTTCTGCATCTTCCACCCCACCTTCTCCGCGAAATGGTACATCTTTTCCTTCTGATCCTGGGTGAACTTGGTCCTGAACCGCTTCCTCGCATTCGGGCTCGGCGTTGCCAGAGCGTTAGCGGGAGCAGCCGCGCTCTCCGGCGGCGCTTGTATCCCGGCCGCAGAGAGAGCCAGAAGCATATGGGGCGCGGACGGGTAGTAAGAAGAGGAGATCGGAGGCGGCGACGCCGAATTGGGGCTGCGATTGGAAACCTGAAAGGGCAGGGGCGGCGGGGGATGGTGCCGATGGTGGGACTGGAACTCGATGACGTGAGTCGTGGACATAGGCTCTTCGGGCTCACGGCGGTGGAAATTGCGGTGGCAGCCGCATGCGGCACATTTGATGGAGCTGGGGTCGGCGAGGCTGGCGGTGGGAGAGGCCATGAACTCGCCACAACCGTCGAGGGCGTGGCCTCCCAAGCTGGCTGCATGGTTTTTCAAGCACTCCTTGTACGTGACGGGCAGGGGCTGGCTGGCCAGGCGGTGGTGGTGGTGGCGCTTGAGGACGCCGTTGGAGTAGGACAAGGGCTTGGCGGCTGTCTGGATCCGGGTGGGCGTTTCACTGTCACGTTCCGGGGATTTCGTACTAGTAGGTGTAGTGGAGGCGGTGGTGTTGTTGGCGACTGCGGGGGTTAAATCCATGGCTCAAACATCTAGTGTCGCAACAAAATTAAATCCTAGCTTTTAAGGGGTTGTTAGGTTTAGGTCTTTATTCAGATTACAAATATCGAACTCCATAAAAGTGCCGGTGATTTCCTCGGGAAATTAGAGTGGGGGCGAGAGCGCGAGCGGGATGCGGCAGCCGAAAAAGAGAGAAAGAACGGCCACTTTTGGAAGGTAGCGAGGAAGAGAGACGAGGAAAGAAGGTGCTGGCGAGGAAGCCCCCAGTGGCGATGGCTGCTGATAACAAAAATCTGGGGTTATGTGGTCGTCCTTCTTAACCACTAGAAGTTTTAACCCTGGTTCTAATCCGTGGTTAAGTTAGTGACCTCACTCAGGGTTAGATGTAAGTAATAAATATACCCCTCCCGTTGGTAACGAAAATGAGAAATAACCCTCGGCTTTATGGTTGCTACAAAGCATATAGCAAATACTAAATACTACTAGAAGTAGTACTGCAACAGTGACCCAACACTAGCAACGTCTTAATTAACCCGCCCTGCCGGGAGCGAGCGTGTAACCAGAACATTAAAGGGGCGATTAAGAAGCGAGAATTAAGGGAGCATGGGAGTGGTTGGTGCTTGCTGTGGCATAGCATGCAGATGCGAGGACCTGCAACTTCTGAGAACCCAACTTAATTTGTCAAGTTGGCAGTCAAGGACGGGATGGCACAGCTTTCACAGTAAATCATTGAGCTCGTTTTCATTTTCTTTTGCGCATGGACTAATTTATCCTTCTCCCATAGTTAAAGCTGGTAGCAAATTTGTGACCCTGGTCGAAACGTTTCGGACAGGACAACCAGTGCCTCCAGGGTATCTTTGTCGGCAACGGAGAATTCCCGGGGCAGCAGATGTGCCTTAGAAGTTGGGGCGGGATTAAACGACGCCGCCTTCAACTCAGCCCAATAAGCCCCGACAAAAGAAACACGTCCTGAAAGCCCGAAACGGTACCGTAGAATAGGGGCCTAAGTGCCTAACCTATACTATTTGGGGGTGAAGGGCTCGTGCTTCGGGGTGGAGGGATGCCGCCACTACGTTCCGTTTTGCGGAACTGAGTACAGTGAACCGTGATCGGGCGTCAACCATAATGATCACAATCATAATCATAATTAATTGAAGCGGGAAGAGGGGCCTCCCTAATCACCCGACACGCATACAGAAAATGCCACGTGTGAGGCTGGCCGGGTGTTTCTCTGGTGCCACGCTGGATGTTCCAGGAGGTTAAAGTCAAAGTAACGTGTGAAATCGTTGTGGCAAAGACTGGTGAGTGAAAGAAAGGGCACTGACTTTGAAGCCTGGGGTGGTTTTACACGGCAAATCAGGGAAGCTCAGATGAAAGTTTGTTTGTATTTTTATATTATTTTTGTAATACTCGTAATAGTAACCAGTAATACTCCTCCTACTGGAAGAGCTATAAATATAATGGAGGGTGAAAAAGAGGGAATAATGTAGGGGAAGGGGGTGACGTGAGCAGACCAATCATGGAGGAGCAAAGGTTTAATCATGGAATGGCGTGTGAACAAGCATTGCATCGAAACTCACAATCACCCCCTCGCAAAATTTATTGTCAAAACAGATGAAGGGAGCTCTTGTTCCTGCTTGGTTCGTGATAACTGCGTTTTCTGCGCGGTCACCGAGTAGTCAGATCAGCGCACAAGTTAATCAGGTTTTTAAATTCCTCATAATTTAAATACTACTTCCTTCCTTCAAAATATGAAAATTTAGATATTAAAAATTATGGAATATTTTTAATATTTTAAAATATAATTATTTTTTTAAAGTGTTTCTATTGAATAAAATATTTTATATTTGTTATAAAGCATTTAATAAATATAAATATAAGAAGATAGAGTTAATTTGAAAGTAAATAACTATTTTATTAAAGGGTAAGATTTAATTAAAAATAATTTATATTTTTTAAAAAATACTCTCTCCATTAAAAAATGTAAAACATTTTTAATCGAGTTTTATCTCCCAATAAAGTAATTACTTATTTTTAAATTAACCTTATCTTTTCATATTTACCTTTATTAAATATTTTATAATAAATATAAAATATTTTATTCAATAGGAACACTTTAAAAAAATAATTATATTTTAAAAGGTTTAAAATATTTTATATTTTTTAATATTTAAATTTTTAAAAAATATCTTTTTATATTTATCCATATTAAATACCCTACAATAAATATAAAATTATTATCAATAGACACTTTAAAAAAGATAATAATTATATTTTAAAATATTAAAAATATTTTATATTTTTAAATAACTAACTTTTTAAAATATATTTTATATTTTTAAATAAAAAGAGTAGTAGTTATCATTTATTGGTTTGTCTAGAGAAAGCATACGTAACCCTCGCGTTCGGTTTTGGTGCATATCATGGTAAGCAATCTGAAATGTCTATATTTAAAATTTATAAATTTTAACAATTATACTTTATTAACAATCAAAATAATCTTTACTTAATATAAATAGTTTGATTTAATATTAAATATTTTTATAATTTTTTTAAATTAACTATTTAAATATACTAGAAATAGTTTAGATTTAAATTTTTTAAAGCGTTAATTTGAAAATTATTTTTATTCTTATTTTTAAATATGATTTTTACTAAAAATAAAATTTATAAACATTTAAAAAGTTAATATTAAGTTTAGATTGTTTGTAGTATATAGGATAGTTAATTTATAAAAATTATAAAAAATTTAATATTAATTACACCATTCAAATTAAACAACTATTGCCTGGCAGGGTTACTGAACTCATAAATTTAAGTAAATTTGTGATAGGAATGTAAGCATGAGACATAGACTCAAATTATAGATTATTACACTCAAGATGAAAATTTCAAAATGAGGCAACTTTTTTTGTATTTTTTAATAATATTATCTTTTGATTTTTATTTTTTATTGAATCGAATCCTGCCATTTTTATGAACCAAATTATATACAATATATACCTATCATAGTCAACAAGTTTATGAGTAAAATATCATAATTTTATAAGTTAGAAATATAAAAACAATAAATTTAAAGAGTCAATTTGAGAGTTTGACAATAATATTGCCTAAATTGATAACAAGATACATTTATTAAAATTTTATAACTTTTTATGATAAATATAAAATAAAAAATAAAGATAAAATGGTAAAATATCAATCAATGATAATCGGGAGAAATTTATATCAATTAAGAATTACTTATTATAAAAACTCAAACGAAAACTTATCAATTTAAATAAATCTTTTGTCAACAAGAATTCATTCAAATTTTAATAATAATTTATTTTATTTTATAAACAATTCATTAAAATTTTAATAATAATTAATATTTAATTGCTGGTAAAAAATATAATCTTTAATTGATACTCTCTCTGTTTAAAAATATAAAGCATTTTTAATCGAATCTCACCATAGCTAATAAAGTCTATAATCTCACTATATTCCTCCCAATAAAATGATTACTTACTTTCAAACTAACCCTATATTTTTATATTTATTTTTATTAAACACCCTATAATAAATATAAGGTCACTATCAATGGAGGTACTTTTTAAAAAAATGATGATTACATTTTAAAATATTAAAAATACTTTATTTTTTAAATATTTAATTTTAAAAAATATTTTATATTTTTAAATAAAAAGAGTATAAATAAATTTTTTAGACTAGGTGCTCAAGTAGAGTTGGAAAAACGGGCGGACCCGGCCCTTATGGGCCCGGCCCTTATGGGCCTAGGCCCATAAGCCCGGTTCTTCATTTTCAACCCCTTTTCTGAAGCCCGGCCCTTATGTTCAGGGCTCAGGGCCGGGCCCGAAAGCCCTAATTTAAAAAATTAAAATAAAATCAAAAATCAAAAATTAATTAAAATATTCAAAAATTGAAAACAATTAAAGTCCTCTCAATCTTTTAAAAATTAAACAACATATTTAAAAATCCAAATAGTACATATTCATCAATTAAAACATAAATCCTCCTCATCCTCATCATCTACAAATAAAACATTAGAACTCTAAGAAGAAGGTCCACTTGTTAAAGGTGGAGGGATTTCAATATCAATATACTCTGCAACCACTTCTTCCTCACCTACAATAAAAATGAACAAAATTGTGTTATTATTAAACATACACAATCACATATATCACAAGACAACATTTCACAAAACAAAAATTACCACATAATGGTGGAACAAAACCATGTAACCAATTTCGAGTACAAATTAATGCTGGCACATTATCTGGAAGGAGGCTAGAACGATACTTTGTTAGAATACGGGAACCAATACTAAAAGCTGATTCACTAGCTATCGTAGTAATAGGAATACTTAAAATATCGCATGCCATCTTTGAAAGATTGGGAAATCGTTGTTGATTAGTCATCCACCAATGCAACACATCCAACTCTGAAAATTGGTGACCATCAAGAGAAGCTTCTTCTAAATAATAATCCAGTTCAGATTTTCCAACAGAAGAAACATCCTTACTCTTGAAATTAAGAAAATCCTATGTAAAAAAAAACAAAAAGTATCAAATAAGGGATTATAAACCAATAGTAATGAGATAATGTGTATTAGATAAATAAAAACTTACACCATAAAGTTGAATCCAAGACATGGTTGGTTTCTTCTTCTCTACCATCCTTCCACTTGTGCTTGAACTTGGTTGACTTTGTATTGAAATTAAACTTGATGTGACATTAATGGAAGATCTACCCATCTCTTTGTATTGATCAAAGATATAATACAACTTTTGTTTGATATTATCAACTTTCATGTAGTAATCCACAGGATCAATAAAGAGAAAGAATACTTGATTGCTTCAAACTTTGCTCGTGGATCAAAAATACTTCTAATTGAAAGGATCACACTATAATCACTCTAATACTTGTCAAATTTATCCTTCATTCTAATCGCCATACTAGAAATCACAGGATCACGATTGCTAATGGCATCATTCAACAAAATCTCAACTTTTGCTATTTGTCCAAAATACATATTGGAAGTTGGATAGGATGTGCCAGAACTCAAAGTAGTAATCATTGTAAATGGTTGTAAAAAAATGCAAATTTCCTCTGCTCTCCTCCACTCTTCATTTGATAAGGAATGCTTAAAATTAGTGTCACGACAAGACATGCAAACAAAAGCTCTTTTATATCTAATTTCACTTTCAAGCATGTCATAAGTGGAATTCCATCTAGTAGGCACATCTAATCGTAATCCCATTGAGGTGTCAATACCACCAACTTGCTCAACACATTGCTTGAAAATTTTCATCCTGGACTCAGATATCTTAACATATTTAATGCTGTCTCGAATTTTATTTATTGCAACATTTATCACCTTCAAACCTTCTTGAACTATCAAGTTCAAGATA